AGATGCGCAAACACACACGCCTCTTTCTGCTCTTTTACAATGGACTAAATGCGGAGTGAAGCCGATTCAGCTCAGGTGAATGTGAACGGGACGCCGGAGGACGGGAGCGCGCACACTGTTCGGTGAGTGAGAGTGTGTGTGTGTGTGTGTGTGTGTGTGAGAAGGACACACACTCCTGATTCTGCTCTAGACACTTCTCTAAATCTACAGCTGTGTGTTTATTTTGTAATTGGTATTTTTGAAGCACATTTATGAAGTTGAGCTCATCCTGCAGGATTCACTCATGATCATATACATATTCACTCTCAGTTCCTCTACACTGTGACAAAATATGGTCAGTAAATCATGGCAGCATGTTTTCCCCTTACTTTAACTCATCAAAATAATGTAATAAATTTCAACTTGAAGTTATACAAGATTCAACTCTTTGTTAAATATAGTCTGTTAACTGGCAGTGCCTTTCCCCTATCGCATATTTTAGTGATCACATCGTAAATTAGGTCAAAAATCCTTTAAAAGTTTAAACACTCAAACATCATCCTGCGAACACTGATTTGAAATTGCGTTACCAAACTTTAAAATCCTTTTATAAATCAATATTTGTTATATCAATTTATCTGGCTTTGATTTAATCGCAGTTTTATAGTCGAAATTATTTTGTAAAATATATATTTTGCATAAAATAAAATAACAATGTTTAGTTCAGTAAAAAATAAAATAAAGTATTTTAAAAGAGACCAACCGTACGCCTGTTTAACCATTTAAGTTCAGATCTGTGATCAACGGTTAGTATTGATATACATTTTGTTTTAATTCATTATTTATTTTTATTAAATTAAGCAGCTCGTTAAAAATACTTTATCGCTAGAAAACTGAAGTTAAAGGCAAGGAATGATGACAAGACTGACACTAATGTGTCTGTTTGTGGTTGATCAAGACTAGATATGACTAGAATTCCTTTTTAATGTAACATATAAACAAATAAACAAAGATATAACTGTTTTCAACATTGATATTAATCATAAATATTTCTTGAGCATCAAATCCTCATGTGACACTGAAGACTGGAGTAATGATGCTGAAAACTCAGCTTTGATCACAGGAATAAATTACACTTTACTGTATATTCACACAGAAAACAGCTGATTTACATTATAATAATATTACACTGTTTTTACTGTATTTCTGATCAAATAAAACGCATCCTTGCTGAGCAGAAGAGAGGTTCTATATAAGGAGAAATGTCTTAAATATTTGCACAATACTTTCATGTTTTCTAGTGATAAAGTATGTTTGCCAGCTACTAAATGCATAAAATGATCCCATGATGAGCCCCTAAAAGGTTCTGTATATGAAGGGCCTGGCAGAACCAGTTGACACTCTTCTAAGAGTCTTTCTTTTGTGGAACGTTTGTCATGTGGAACGTCTGTAGTGGGAAACGTCTGTCGTTTGGAACGTCTGGAAGAAAAGTTCTATATGGAACCTCAAATGGTTCTGTTGTATTTCTGTTGTTTGGTCGACGTCTGTCGTGTGGAATATTCTCGTGTGGAATGTTTGTCATGTGGAACGTCTGTTGTGTTGTTAAACGTCTGTCGTTTGGAACGCCTGGAAGAAGAAATTTCTATATGGAACCTCAAATGGTTCTGTTGAATGTCTGTTGTTTGGAACATCTGTCTTGTGGAACGTCTGTCTTGTGAAACCCCTGAAAGGTTCTGTATATGAAGAGCCTGGCAGAACCATTTGAGGTTCCATATAGAACCTTTTCTACTACGAGTGTTTCCGTTGTGAAACGTTTGTCATGTGGAACGCCTGTTGTTGTTAAACGTCTGACGTGGGAAACGTCTGTCGTTTGGAACGTCTGGAAGAAAAGTTCTATATAGAACCTCAAATGGTTCTGCCAGGCAGAACCAGAATGGTTCTGTTGAATTTATGTTGTTTGGTACGTCTGTCATGTGGAATATCTCTTGTGTGGAATGTTTGTCATGTGGAACATTTGTCTTGTGGAACGTCTGTCATGAGGAACGTTTGTCATGTGAAACCCCTGAAAGGTTCTGTATATGAAGCCCCTGGCAGAACCATTTGAGGTTCCATATAGAACCTTTTCTACTACGAGTGTTTCCTTTGTGGAATGTTTGTCATGTGGAACATCTTTCTTGTGGAATATCTTTCGTGTGAAACGTTTGTCATGTGAAACCCATGAAAAAGTTTCTGTATATAAAGAACCTGGCAGAACCCTTTATTGTTCCATATAGAATTTTTTTTCAAAGAGTGTTTCCTTTGTGGAACGTTTGTCATGTGGAACATCTGTCTTGTGGAACGTCTGTCGTTTAGAACGTCTATCATTTTGTAACGTCTGTCATGTTGAATGTTTGTTGTGGAACCTCAAATGGTTCTGCCAGGCGCTTCATATACAGAACCTTTCAGGGGTTTCACATATAGAACCTTTTCTACTGAGAGTGTTTCCTTTGTTGAACGTTTGTCATGCCTAATGTCTGTCTTGTGAAACTTCTGTTGTTTTGACCGTCTGTCTTATGGAACGTCTGTCATGTAAGCAATCGCTTTTTAATACTTTTAAGAGCCTCTAAAAATAATCCATCGCTGATAAAACAGTGTGATGAAGCACTAGCAGTTAATATGTTGCATGCAGAACTGTTTCCCATGTTTGCGTGTCTCTCAGAGGAGAGCTCAGGTAGTGCAGCACAGTCCCACTTTAAGAAACTGGGCCGAACCAAATGGGCAGAACTCTCGCCTCTGGTCTCTGTTGTACCCCATAAACTCTGGATCCTCCAACCTACATATGACTGCCTACACACACACACACACACACACACACACTCACTCGCTCTGAATAACCCACTTCAGCGTCTCACACTCTCTCTCTTCTCTTAATAGCTCCTCAGATGAGTGGCGCTGCTCTTAAATTGATTGAAGTAATTAGAGATTACAGCAGCTCGTCAGTCATCCAGCTGTAATTGTCTGACCGCCTCCTCATCATCGTCTGATCCAGTGACGACACTGAAAGACTGTGTCCGGTAGTTTAGACGAAGAGTGTGTAGTTGTTGTCGGTGTGGGAGTCGCAGCGCCTCCTGCTGGCTGGTCTGAGCTCACATTCACACCTGTTTATACCTGCCAGACACTCCAGACACCTGAGACGCTGCCAACACACACACACACACACACACACACACAGGCTCGTCCATCCCTACAACACGCTGTCCTCGACTGAACGTGTGCACAAACACACACACACACACACACACACACACACACACAAACACACACACACACACACACACACACACACACACACACACACACACGCTCTAGTTCTCATCTTAAATATTACAGCATGTTTCCACAGATTTTTTTTTTGTATTGTGGTTTAATGCTGGTCACCTGCAGTTCACTTCTTGTGTTATTGTTCATTCATTTCATTCTTTTAATAATTAATATTAATCATTTCTGCTAATTTAGACTAGTAAAATATGAAACATGCATCATGAAAGTTATCTGTGCTCGTCAGGAAGCTCATTTGCTTATAAATAGTGTGAGTCAGATTTGTGTGATTTCAGGATGACTGTTTTGTCCGTTTGTGTCTGTTTTTAGACGAATCACTGTGGAGTCCGAGGTAGATCCTATTTATATATTTCTCCCTTTAAATACAATATATTGCCAAAAGTTTTGGGAAGTTTGCCTTTACATGCACATGAACTGTAATGACATCCCGTTCTTAATCCGTAGGGTTTAATGTGGAGTTTTCCACCCTTTGCAGCTATAACAGCTTCAACTCTTCTGGGAAGGCTTTCCACAGGGTTTAGGAGTGTGTTTATGGGAATGTTCAGGCACTGATTTTGGAGGAAAAGGTCTAGCCTACAGTCTCCGCTCTAATTAATCGGGTCGAGCTCAGGACTCTGTGCAGCCAGTCCAGTTCCTCCACACCAAACTCCTCATTCATGTGTTTATGACCTGCTTTGTGCACTGGAGCGCAGTCATGCTGGAACAGGAACATCCACAAACTCTTCCCACAAAGTTGGGAGCATGAAAATGTCCAAATTGTCTTGGTATGCTGAAGCATTAAGAGTTCCTTTCACTGGAACTAAGAGGCCAAGCCTGAAAAACAACCCCACACCATAACCCCCCCTCCACCAAACAACCCCACACCATAACCCCCCCTCCACCAAACAACCCCACACCATAACCCCGCCTCCACCAAACAACCCCACACCATAACCCCCCCTCCACCAAACAACCCCACACCATAATCCCCTCTCCACCAAACAACCCCACACCATAATCCCCCTCCACCAAACAACCCCACACCATAATCCCCCCTCCACCAAACAACCCCACACCATAACCCCCCCTCCACCAAACAACCCCACACCATAACCCCCCCTCCACCGAACGACCCCACACCATAATCCCCCTCTCCACCAAACAACCCCACACCATAATCCCCCTCTCCACCAAACAACCCCACACCATAATCCCCTCTCCACCAAACAACCCCACACCATAATCCCCCTCCACCAAACAACCCCACACCATAATCCCCCCTCCACCAAACAACCCCACACCATAACCCCCCCTCCACCAAACAACCCCACACCATAATCCCCCCTCCACCGAACGACCCCACACCATAATCCCCTCTCCACCAAACAACCCCACACCATAATCCCCCTCCACCAAACAACCCCACACCATAATCCCCCCTCCACCAAACAACCCCACACCATAACCCCCCCTCCACCAAACAACCCCACACCATAACCCCCCCTCCACCGAACGACCCCACACCATAATCCCCCTCTCCACCAAACAACCCCACACCATAACCCCCCCTCCACCAAACAACCCCACACCATAACCCCCCCTCCACCAAACAACCCCACACCATAATCCCCCTCCACCAAACAACCCCACACCATAATCCCCCCTCCACCGAACGACCCCACACCATAATCCCCTCTCCACCAAACAACCCCACGCCATAATCCCCCTCCACCAGACAACCCCACACCATAATCCCCCCTCCACCAAACAACCCCACACCATAACCCCCCCTCCACCAAACAACCCCACACCATAATCCCCCCTCCACCAAACAACCCCACACCATAATCCCCCTCCACCAAACAACCCCACACCATAACCCCCCCTCCACCTTACAACCCCACACCATAACCCCCCTCCACCAAACAACCCCACACCATAATCCCCCCTCCACCAAGCAACCCCACACCATAACCCCCTCTCCACCAAACAACCCCACACCATAATCCCCCCTCCACCAAACAACCCCACACCATAATCCCCCCTCCACCAAACAACCCCACACCATAATCCCCCCTCCACCAAACAACCCCACACCATAATCCCCCTCTCCACCAAACAACCCCACACCATAACCCCCTCTCCACCAAACAACCCCACACCATAATCCCCTCTCCACCAAACAACCCCACACCATAATCCCCCCTCCACCAAACAACCCCACACCATAATCCCCCCTCCACCAAACAACCCCACACCATAATCCCCTCTCCACCAAACAACCCCACACCATAATCCCCCCTCCACCAAACAACCCCACACCATAATCCCCCTCCACCAAACAACCCCACACCATAATCCCCCCTCCACCAAACAACCCCACACCATAATCCCCCCTCCACCAAACAACCCCACACCATAATCCCCCCTCCACCAAACAACCCCACACCATAATCTCCCCTCCACCAAACAACCCCACACCATAATCCCCCCTCCACCAAACAACCCCACACCATAATCCCCCTCCACCAAACAACCCCACACCATAATCCCCCCTCCACCAAACAACCCCACACCATAATCCCCCCTCCACCAAACAACCCCACACCATAACCCCCTCTTCACCAAACAACCCCACACCATAATCCCCCTCCACCAAACAACCCCACACCGTAATCCCCCCTCCACCAAACAACCCCACACCATAATCCCCCCTCCACCAAACAACCCCACACCATAATCCCCCTCCACCAAACAACCCCACACCGTAATCCCCCCTCCACCAAACAACCCCACACCATAACCCCCCTCCACCAAACAACCCCACACCATAATCCCCCCTCCACCAAACAACCCCACACCATAATCCCCCCTCCACCAAACAACCCCACACCATAATCCCCCTCTCCACCAAACAACCCCACACCATAATCCCCCCTCCAGCAAACAACCCCACACCATAATCCCCCCTCCACCAAACAACCCCACACCATAATCCCCCTCTCCACCAAACAACCCCACACCATAATCCCCCTCCACCAAACTACCCCACACCATAATCCCCCCTCCACCAAACAACCCCACACCATAATCCCCCTCTCCACCAAACCACCCCACACCATAATCCCCCTCCACCAAACCACCCCACACCAGAATCCCCCATCCAGCAAACAACCCCACACCATAATGCCCCCTCCACCAAACTACCCCACACCATAATCCCCCTCTCCACCAAACAACCCCACACCATAATCCCCCCTCCACCAAACAACCCCACACCATAATCCCCCCTCCAGCAAACAACCCCACACCATAATCCCCCTCTCCACCAAACAACCCCACACCATAACCCCCCTCCACCAAACAACCCCACACCGTAATCCCCCCTCCAGCAAACAACCCCGCACCGTAATCCCCCTCTCCACCAAACAACCCCACACCATAATCCCCCCTCCACCAAACAACCCCACACCATAATCCCCCCTCCACCAAACAACCCCACACCATAATCCCCCCTCCACCAAACAACCCCACACCATAATCCCCCCTCCACCAAACAACCCCACACCATAATCCCCCTCTCCACCAAACAACCCCACACCATAATCCCCCTTCCACCAAACAACCCCACACCATAATCCCCCCTCCACCAAACAACCCCACACCATAATCCCCCTCTCCACCAAACAACCCCACACCATAATCCCCCTCCACCAAACTACCCCACACCATAATCCCCCCTCCACCAAACAACCCCACACCATAATCCCCCTCTCCACCAAACCACCCCACACCATAATCCCCCTCCACCAAACCACCCCACACCATAATCCCCCATCCAGCAAACCACCCCACACCATAATGCCCCCTCCACCAAACAACCCCACACCATAATGCCCCCTCCACCAAACTACCCCACACCATAATCCCCCTCTCCACCAAACAACCCCACACCATAATCCCCCCTCCACCAAACAACCCCACACCATAATCCCCCCTCCACCAAACAACCCCACACCATAATCCCCCCTCCAGCAAACAACGCCACACCATAATCCCCCTCTCCACCAAACAACCCCACACCATAATCCCCCCTCCAGCAAACAACCCCACACCATAATCCCCCTCCACCAAACAACCCCACACCATAATCCCCCTCTCCACCAAACAACCCCACACCATAATCCCCCTCCACCAAACTACCCCACACCATAATACCCCCTCCACCAAACAACCCCACACCATAATCCCCCTCTCCACCAAACTACCCCACACCATAATCCCCCTCCACCAAACTACCCCACACCATAATCCCCCCTCCACCAAACAACCCCACACCATAATCCCCCCTCCACCAAACAACCCCACACCATAATCCCCCCTCCACCAAACAACCCCACACCATAATCCCCCTCCACCAAACTACCCCACACCATAATCCCCCCTCCACCAAACAACCCCACACCATAATCCCCCTCTCCACCAAACAACCCCACACCATAATCCCCCCTCCACCAAACAACCCCACACCATAATCCCCCCTCCACCAAACAACCCCACACCATAATCCCCCTCTTCACCAAACAACCCCACACCATAATCCCCCATCCAGCAAACAACCCCACACCATAATCCCCCCTCCACCAAACAACCCCACACCATAATCCCCCCTCCAGCAAACAACCCCACACCATAATCCCCCCTCCAGCAAACAACCCCACACCATAATCCCCCTCTCCACCAAACAACCCCACACCATAATCCCCCCTCCAGCAAACAACCCCACACCATAACCCCCCCTCCACCAAACAACCCCACACCGTAGTCCCCCCTCCACCAAACAACCCCACACCATAACCCCCCCTCCACCAAACAACCCCACACCATAACCCCCCCTCCACCAGACAACCCCACACCATAACCCCCCTCCACCAAACAACCCCACACCATAATCCCCCTCTCCACCAAACAACCCCACACCATAACCCCCCTCCACCAAACAACCCCACACCATAATCCCCTCTCCACCTCTCCACCAAACAACCCCACACCATAACCCCCCTCCACCAAACAACCCCACACCATAATCCCCTCTCCACCAAACAACCCCACACCATAATCCCCCCTCCGCCAAACAACCCCACACCATAATCCCCCCTCCACCAAACAACCCCACACCATAATCCCCCTCCACCAAACAACCCCGCACCATAATCCCCCCTCCACCAAACAACCCCGCACCATAATCCCCCCTCCACCAAACAACCCCACACCATAATCCCCCCTCCAGCAAACAACCCCGCACTGTAATCCCCCCTCCACCAAACAACCCCACACCATAATCCCCCCTCCAGCAAACAACCCCGCACCGTAATCCCCCCTCCACCAAACAACCCCACACCATAATCCCCCCTCCACCAAACAACCCCACACCATAATCCCCTCTCCACCAAACAACCCCACACCATAACCCCCCCTCCACCAAACAACCCCACATCATAATCCCCCTCCACCAAACAACCCCACACCATAATCCCCCCTCCACCAAACAACCCCACACCAGAACCCCCCTTCCACCAAACAACCCCACACCATAACCCCACCTCCACCAAACAACCCCACACCATAATCCCCCCTCCACCAAACAACCCCACACCATAATCCCCCCTCCACCAAATAACCCCACACCATAATCCCCCCTCCACCAAACAACACCACACCATAATCCCCCCTCCACCAAACAACCCCACACCATAATCCCCCCTCCACCAAACAACCCCACACCATAATCCCCCCTCCACCAAACAACCCCACACCATAACCCCCCCTCCACCAAACAACCCCACACCATAACCCCCCTCCACCAAACAACCCCACACCTGCATGCCTAGTGCTTGATTTTATACACCTGTGGTCATGGAAGTGATTGGAACACCTGAACTGATTTGGAGGGGTGTCCCAATACTTTTGGCAATATAGTATATGTTTTACAAATTTAACCCGTTTGCTGGTTTTATTGAAGGTTGCAGTGATGTTTATATAGGTCTGTTTTTAATAATTCATCATGAATCTCAATCACATTTCTGATGCTCATGGAAAAAAACATGTGGAGCAAAGTCACAAATAATATGTCTATATAATATAAGCACAGTATTAAAATATATAATTGAAAACAAAGCAATTACAATACGTTTTGTTCTCTTAAAAAAATGTTTTTGCCTGCTAAACGTTGATTAAAAAACAAACTTTTTAAGAGGGAAAACAATTTAACAGAGCATTTATGAAAATGATTTCCGTTCTCTGTGAATTTGTGTGTGTGTGTGTGTGTGTGTGTGTGTGTGTGTGTTGTTTTGAGTTCAGTCTGAAGATGAAGGTCTTTTCTCTCCCTGCAGACGCTCTAAAATCCAGGACACTGAAGATCAGCAGCTCCAGAGGACAAACACACACATACACACACACGAGAACAGAGAGAGAAACTACGGACCGACTGCTATCAGTGTCCACAGGTACATACACACACACACACACGCCCTATTGATCCTGGGGTACATTTGTCAATAACTCTTTATACGTTGTAGAATATATGAAGACTGTATCAAATATATGTTCCAATAATACTGACATATGTGTGTGTGTGTGTGTGTGTTTTGTAGGGAATGAGAGCCCTACAGAATCATGTGGTTTCTGAGATGGAGGAGTGAGAGTTTGGCTGAACACACACGAGGTGAGACAAACACAAACACACACGGGTCCGTTTGCTGCTGAGTCCAGATCAGACGTTTGATCACATAAAGATGGCAACACCTGAAGCGCACAGACACACACACACACACACACACACACACACACACACACACACACACACACACACACACACACACACACACACACACACACACACACACAGTAATCTGTGATAATCTGTGAGAAAGCTGCTGCTCTCATCAGAGTTTCACACACATCAAATCTCATCAACCCAACACACACTCACTCAGAGGAACACAACTGTGTGTGTTTTAGGAATGTAACTCTCCATCATGTAAACCGTTCTCTCCTCTGTGAAACAGTGTATTTAGTGTGAACTCTCTCTTTAGTAACGTCTGCAGGTTGTCATATGTGTAGTTCTGACTGTCACATGTTTATCATCCGGTGATGTTGTGCAGTGATGCGATTATTGTGCGATGCTCTATGTACGTGACTGTAAATGTGCGACTGAGACCCGTTCACACAATGAGTCCACAACACAACTATAATGATAACACAGAGAAACGATATCATTGGAATCACTTTCAGAATGATGTTTTCCAGCTGATGAACGATCAAAACACTGACAGCCAATCAGAATCCATCCTGCTTTAAAGAGCTCCAGCATTTAAAGAGACAGACGACAAAACTGCAGCGCTAATAAAAAGCATAGTTGTAGAAAAGGCCCTGTCACCCATAGTGTGAAGATGCTTTAGTTAGATAGTTATAGTTATCATTAGTGGGATCTGGGATCACTCGTCTAGACTGATGTTACTGGGATAACTCGTCTAGATTGATGTAACTGGGATCACTCGTCTAGATTGATGTTACTGGGATCACTCGTCTAGATTGATGTTACTGGGATCACTCGTCTAGATTGATGTTACTGGGATCACTCGTCTAGACTGATGTAACTGGGATCACTCGTCTAGATTGATGTTACTGGGATCACTCGTCTAGACTGATGTAACTGGGATCACTCGTCTAGACTGATGTTACTGGGATCACTCGTCTAGACTGATGTAACTGGGATCACTCGTCTAGATTGATGTTACTGGGATCACTCGTCTAGACTGATGTAACTGGGATCACTCGTCTAGACTGATGTTACTGGGATCACTCGTCTAGACTGATGTAACTGGGATCACTCGTCTAGATTGATGTTACTGGGATCACTCGTCTAGACTGATGTAACTGGGATCACTCGTCTAGACTGATGTTACTGGGATCACTCGTCTAGATTGATGTTACTGGGATCACTCGTCTAGACTGATGTAACTGGGATCACTCGTCTAGACTGATGTTACTGGGATCACTCGTCTAGACTGATGTAACTGGGATCACTCGTCTAGACTGATGTTACTGGGATCACTCGTCTAGACTGATGTAACTGGGATCACTCGTCTAGATTGATGTAACTGGGATCACTCGTCTAGACTGATGTAACTGGGATCACTCGTCTAGATTGATGTTACTGGGATCACTCGTCTAGATTGATGTTACTGGGATCACTCGTCTAGATTGATGTTACTGGGATCACTCGTCTAGACTGATGTTACTGGGATCACTCGTCTAGATTGATGTTACTGGGATCACTCGTCTAGATTGATGTTACTGGGATCACTCGTCTAGATTGATGTTACTGGGATCACTCGTCTAGACTGATGTTACTGGGATCACTCGTCTAGACTGATGTGACTGGGATCACTCGTCTAGACTGATGTTACTGGGATCACTCGTCTAGATTGATGTTACTGGGATCACTCGTCTAGACTGATGTAACTGGGATCACTCGTCTAGATTGATGTTACTGGGATCACTCGTCTAGACTGATGTAACTGGGATCACTCATCTAGATTGATGTTACTGGGATCACTCGTCTAGATTGATGTTACTGGGATCACTCGTCTAGACTGATGTAACTGGTATCACTCGTCTAGACTGATGTTACTGGGATCACTCGTCTAGACTGATGTAACTGGGATCACTCGTCTAGACTGATGTTACTGGGATCACTCGTCTAGACTGATGTTACTGGGATCACTCGTCTAGACTGATGTAACTGGGATCACTCGTCTAGATTGATGTAACTGGGATCACTCGTCTAGACTGATGTAACTGGGATCACTCGTCTAGATTGATGTTACTGGGATCACTCGTCTAGATTGATGTTACTGGGATCACTCGTCTAGATTGATGTTACTGGGATCACTCGTCTAGACTGATGTAACTGGGATCACTCGTCTAGATTGATGTTACTGGGATCACTCGTCTAGATTGATGTTACTGGGATCACTCGTCTAGATTGATGTTACTGGGATCACTCGTCTAGACTGATGTTACTGGGATCACTCGTCTAGACTGATGTGACTGGGATCACTCGTCTAGACTGATGTTACTGGGATCACTCGTCTAGATTGATGTTACTGGGATCACTCGTCTAGACTGATGTAACTGGGATCACTCGTCTAGATTGATGTTACTGGGATCACTCGTCTAGACTGATGTAACTGGGATCACTCGTCTAGACTGATGTTACTGGGATCACTCATCTAGATTGATGTTACTGGGATCACTCGTCTAGATTGATGTTACTGGGATCACTCGTCTAGACTGATGTAACTGGTATCACTCGTCTAGACTGATGTTACTGGGATCACTCGTCTAGATTGATGTTACTGGGATCACTCGTCTAGACTGATGTAACTGGGATCACTCGTCTAGACTGATGTAACTGGGATCACTCGTCTAGACTGATGTTACTGGGATCACTCGTCTAGATTGATGTTACTGGGATCACTCGTCTAGACTGATGTAACTGGGATCACTCGTCTAGACTGATGTTACTGGGATCACTCGTCTAGACTGATGTAACTGGGATCACTCGTCTAGACTGATGTTACTGGGATCACTCGTCTAGACTGATGTTACTGGGATCACTCGTCTAGATTGATGTAACTGGGATCACTCGTCTAGACTGATGTTACTGGGATCACTCGTCTAGATTGATGTTACTGGGATCACTCGTCTAGATTGATGTTACTGGGATCACTCGTCTAGACTGATGTAACTGGGATCACTCGTCTAGACTGATGTTACTGGGATCACTCGTCTAGATTGATGTTACTGGGATCACTCGTCTAGACTGATGTAACTGGGATCACTCGTCTAGACTGATGTAACTGGGATCACTCGTCTAGACTGATGTTACTGGGATCACTCGTCTAGATTGATGTAACTGGGATCACTCGTCTAGACTGATGTTACTGGGATCACTCGTCTAGACTGATGTAACTGGGATCACTCGTCTAGACTGATGTTACTGGGATCACTCGTCTAGACTGATGTAACTGGGATCACTCGTCTAGATTGATGTAACTGGGATCACTCGTCTAGACTGATGTAACTGGGATCACTCGTCTAGATTGATGTTACTGGGATCACTCGTCTAGATTGATGTTACTGGGATCACTCGTCTAGATTGATGTTACTGGGATCACTCGTCTAGACTGATGTAACTGGGATCACTCGTCTAGATTGATGTTACTGGGATCACTCGTCTAGATTGATGTTACTGGGATCACTCGTCTAGATTGATGTTACTGGGATCACTCGTCTAGACTGATGTTACTGGGATCACTCGTCTAGACTGATGTGACTGGGATCACTCGTCTAGACTGATGTTACTGGGATCACTCGTCTAGATTGATGTTACTGGGATCACTCGTCTAGACTGATGTAACTGGGATCACTCGTCTAGATTGATGTTACTGGGATCACTCGTCTAGACTGATGTAACTGGGATCACTCGTCTAGACTGATGTTACTGGGATCACTCATCTAGATTGATGTTACTGGGATCACTCGTCTAGATTGATGTTACTGGGATCACTCGTCTAGACTGATGTAACTGGTATCACTCGTCTAGACTGATGTTACTGGGATCACTCGTCTAGATTGATGTTACTGGGATCACTCGTCTAGACTGATGTAACTGGGATCACTCGTCTAGACTGATGTAACTGGGATCACTCGTCTAGACTGATGTTACTGGGATCACTCGTCTAGACTGATGTAACTGGGATCACTCGTCTAGACTGATGTAACTGGGATCACTCGTCTAGACTGATGTTACTGGGATCACTCGTCTAGACTGATGTAACTGGGATCACTCGTCTAGACTGATGTTACTGGGATAGATTGATGTAACTGGGATCACTCGTCTAGACTGATGTTACTGGGATCACTCGTCTAGATTGATGTTACTGGGATCACTCGTCTAGACTGATGTTACTGGGATCACTCGTCTAGATTGATGTTACTGGGATCACTCGTCTAGATTGATGTTACTGGGATCACTCGTCTAGACTGATGTAACTGGGATCACTCGTCTAGACTGATGTTACTGGGATCACTCGTCTAGATTGATGTTACTGGGATCACTCGTCTAGACTGATGTAACTGGGATCACTCGTCTAGACTGATGTAACTGGGATCACTCGTCTAGACTGATGTTACTGGGATCACTCGTCTAGATTGATGTTACTGGGATCACTCTTCTAGACTGATGTAACTGGGATCACTCGTCTAGACTGATGTTACTGGGATCACTCGTCTAGACTGATGTAACTGGGATCACTCGTCTAGACTGATGTTACTGGGATCACTCGTCTAGATTGATGTAACTGGGAGCACTCGTCTAGATTGATGTTACTGGGATCACTCGTCTAGATTGATGTTACTGGGATCACTCGTCTAGACTGATGTAACTGGGATCACTCGTCTAGATTGATGTTACTGGGATCACTCGTCTAGATTGATGTTACTGGGATCACTCTTCTAGACTGATGTAACTGGGATCACTCGTCTAGATTGATGTTACTGGGATCACTCGTCTAGATTGATGTTACTGGGATCACTCGTCTAGACTGATGTTACTGGGATCACTCGTCTAGACTGATGTAACTGGGATCACTCGTC